CAAGAAATCCGAATCAAAAAATGTTGTAAAGCTTTCGAAAGACTTCGCGGTCCGACCGACAGTTCTTTGCTTATTTTTTCTGTTGGATACGCGTCAAGATAAAGCGATTAAAATAAGTCTCACTTATTAAAATAAGTTCATCCTAATATCATCTAAATAGAAACGTTTGATTCTCCTGTTTTCAAAGTCAAGGATCGGGAATTAGCGAAGACATACAAGAAACAAAAGTTGATCCGTTTCATTAAGAAAATCATCAACATAAAATCGAATAAAATCGAATAAAATCGAATAAAATCGAATAAAATTGCACGGAGACCGTCGCCGAGGAATCGGAGCAACGCGTACGGTCCCCCAGGAACCATGTATTACACCATCTTCAAATGATCATTAACTAGGCGAATAAATGATCAATTAAGCGACCGCGAAGCCCCGTCAAATCCACTCGTTTCCTTTCCCGGGTCCGCTGTTGCCTGCGTTTTATCGTGCGAAACGGACTCGCATGGGTCGCAGGCGTTACAAAAAAAAGAACAAAAAAGAAAAAAAAACAGAAAGAGCTACAACAATAATAAAACGAACAGTGTGTACGACGGAGGCGTGTGTATGATCGACAGATGGTTCGGCGAAAGAGAGAGAGAGCCGCGCGCGCGGCTTTTTCATGCCTGAACGATCGAATCGGCTGTCGAAACGCGAGCTTAAAAGGCGAGGAGCTCTCGCGCTTGTAGAAACGAGGCCCGCCGGCGGCGAATTTAAGCTCGCGTTCGCGGGCTTGCGTCTCGGCCGAGAATCGGTGACCTGTGTTGTGCGCTCGGTGTAAGATTCGCAGACTCTGCGTGCTTTTTCGGCTACGAGTCGCTCCACGGCCGTGATATAAAGCCGTTCCCGATCGAGAGAACCCGATCCCGAGCGAAGTTCGCGGATCGAGGACTGACTGGCTTCCCCTGTTCGTCGCCCGGACAAACGTCACCGCCTCGCAGACCTACTTTTATGGCGTTCCTTCGGCCATTTGGTTCGTGCAGGGTGAGTCTCTCTCGACGCGTCTCAAGGACGGCGAAAGAAATCCACGTGGAAAACAATCGACGTTGCGCAACCGAGTCGAGCGGCGAAGCTCGTAAAGCCCGTTGCACGCTTGGCCGCGTACCGAACGCGGCTCAATAGAATGATCTGTGACATCGATCCCCGCTGTTCAGCTATAATCGAAGCCTCGTTTCCGCTCTGAAATATCCCACCCGGTGCGTCGCGGTCGGAAATCCGCGAGCGGAACTTCGCGGTCTTCTCGTGCCGAAATGCGAACGAGAGCTTTTCCGTCTTTTTCTCGACACGTTCAACGTCATAGTTCGATTTTGTATTTCATATTTATTACGCAGATGCAGATAAGATTCATTATATCTTATGCAGATGCAGCGGTGTGCAAAAATATCCAGCCGGTTGATTCTAGCAGTTTTTTTTTGCCAGAAGAAGCTTCAGAAATTTTTATTAATGTCGTCTACAAGGGCGTATACTTGCGTAAAAGTATACTAAATCACAAATCGACGCTATTTATTCATCGTACGCGTTTATTCGATGATTCATTAAATTGAGGTGTTTAAAAGCTTGCGGTCAGTGTGCTTTATAAAATAAAAATAATGCTTCGTTTTCGTTCTGCAGCAATTTTGTGGAAGATTGTTTAACGTATTTAGAGTTAGATTAGGATAGATCAGGCCAGTGTGTTTAACAGAAAAGGAATAAATAACTTTGTTTTTCGTTCTGCAACAATTTTGAGATTGATCATTTAACGTATTTAGAGTTGGATCAGATTAGGTTTGACCAGTGTATTTAACAAAAAAAAAGAAGTAACACTTCATTTTTATTTGTCAGCAATTTTGTGGTAGATCGTTTAACATAATTACAGTTAATTTAGTTAATTTATTTTTTAATAAAGATTAGACAATGTTAGGTTAGATAAAAGTTAGATTATTTAACAGTGTGGTGCGTTGTTCTCCTCTCTTCTATTAAATATTGAAAAAATTCTGTCTTCTTAGAACTTCCGCGATTCTTTATTCGACGTTTCATCTCTCTCCAAAAAATGGGGAGAAAAATTCTGTTGGGAAAATGAGGTCCCGAAACATCGCTAAAAGAACTGATAACATTATGAAAGGGAATTAAATTGCGGGCTCGATGGAGACAACTGTCGATATCGCAGCAAAGCTGCGAGAAGAAAGCATTGCTAATATTAGTCGATGTACGATATCGGAAAAATACATTAATGAACGAGAAGAATAAAGTAGTCCGATTAATGTCCGCGAAGAAATATTGTGACCGGACTGTTGCAAACTGGAATGCTGTTCTTTTTTCAGCCGAATCTAAATTTAATTTGTTTGGAAGCGATGGATGACAACAGCTACGACGTCCACTTGGCACAAGAATTGATACACCAGATAGCGAACACAAATTGTTAACAGTAGAACTACCGAACTCTTAACAAAAGGCTGATGTATATTGTTTCATAACAATCGCAAGATCGGATTTATTTGAGATTTTTCTTATAATATATGCTTGAACAATGAAATTCGTCTGGAAAATTCTCAGAGAAACATTTTCATGATATTAATAATTGCAGATTAAAAAAATCAGAAACCAGTGATTTTGACTGGTTATTTCTAGTGTTAAACACGTTCTAGTGTTGACACTAGATTTCCGGAGCACAAAAGACAGCTGTTTTATATTAGTTTATAAAAGTAACGATAAGACATTTATTCTGATTTTTAATATTTGCCGTAAGTAAAATATCAATTGAATAAATAACTTATAAAAGTAAATTAAGAAATTAGTGATCCGTCATTTTGACGGGTTCCGTAAATCTAGTGTTAAACATGGTGCAATAAACGTTATAATACAGGGAGCTTTCTCCGTTTAAGAAATTAGTCTTTTCGTAAAAATTGAAGGTATCACGAATAGAGTTACGCACAGAAAGATTTTCGAAATCCATATTCTACCACATGCTGGAAGAAAAATGCCAGAAAATTCCAAAAACGCCAAAAAAGATCTTTCGGCATGATAAAAACCTGAAACGTGCATCGAAAGTCGCCTATAAATAAAAGTACAGGTTTTATACTGGCCTTCTCAACCAGCGAACATAAATCGACAACATCTTTGGGGAAAAATGAACCGTCGAATAAGTCAGAATTTTTTCAAAATTTAATAGAACAATGGAACAAGGTACCACGCGACTATATTACTCGGTTAATTGAATCCATTTCTCATTGGTGTGCTGCTATCATTGTTGCAAAAGGCATGGCTCCGAATAATGTTGAAAAATAATAATAATAATAATAATAATAATAATAATAACAACAATAATAATAATACTGTTGAATAATGTACCGAAAAATAGTTACCCAATAAAAAACAAGCATTATCTTTTTATTACGCGCGCGCGCGCACTGGCCGAGAACTTTTGAACACCGCTAAATATCCCTAAAGCAATAATCGTGGATTTAGGCTCAGATTTGCACGCGGAAGGACAATTCAGTGAACGTCAGAGGCTTTCGAATTGGACAGCGTGATCTCGGCCCCTCTTCGGGAACCGTTTGCTAATCGCGCGACGTTTGGACCGGTCCGACGCGGTCGTAAACGAATTCGGAGCAAGTGGAGAACGGGCTTTACTCGTCGACACTCGAGCCGCATCGTTAATCGACCGTTCAGGGTCGGATGCAGCGGCGTTACACGCCCACACGCTCTCTGGGATCGTGATCGTTTCGGATGCACGTTACGCGGCCGTCCATGATCGACGTCCGTGACGATCGATCGTGAGCAACGCAGAGAGAAGAGTGACAATGAAAACAAAAAGAAAAAAAAATTGATAAAAAAAAGAATAGAGAAAAGCAGGAACAGAATATATACAGGGTGTCCCAAAAAAGTCTCGCAATCCGGAAATGGCGGGTTCCTCGGATCATTTGAAGCAGCTTTTTCCTTTGCAAAAATGTTCTCCGAGGCACCGTTAACGAGTTATTAACGAAAAACAGTGACCAATAAGAATCGAGTATGGCTGACGCGTGACGGCCCAGCCAACCGCGCACGAAGTCCAGCTCCGCTCATTGGCTCGGTCGCCTCGCGCCAGCTGAGCTGGGATTCGACCGCCGACCGCTGGCGCCGTTGGCTCGGCCGGCTCGCGTCAGCTAAGCTGGGATTCGACCGCTAGCGCCGTTGGCTCGGCCGGCTCGCGGCAGCTGAGCTCGCCTCTCATTGGTCACTGTTTTTCGTTGATAACTCGTTAACGGTGCCTCGGAGAAAATTGTTGTAAAGGAAAAAGTTGCTTCAAATGACCCGAGGAACCTGCCACTTTCGGATTTCGAGACATTTTTGGGACACCCTGTGTATATATATGTTCGTCGCGTGCGGGTCAGCGTAATTGCGGAAGACGGCGAAAAGTTTCCCGATTCAGGAACCAAATGTGTGAGACGACGACGGCGGTTTTCGTACGTGCGTGGAATTGTGGCTGTCGTGAAACGATACGAGATATAGGAATCATTTAACGTCCGCGCGAGATCCTCTTAACGATCTGGGAAACAAAAAACAAAAGATCGAATTAAGTTAACACTTTCATCATCCACACACGTGTCTCTCGGAACTTCCCCTGAGTGGCAGGTACAAATCGGAGCCGCGGGATCGATCGATCCGGCGTGGATCGCCGACATCGAGGGCTCTCGAAAGTCCGGCTCGATGCTTTTCTCGCAGCAGGTCGATGCGAGACCCGTGGTCAAGGAGCTCGTGAAAATAAATTGCCGTCTGCCACCGGCCGACTCGCCGTCCGAGTCCCGTGCGCACATCGTCAACGTTCATTCTCGCGAGCTCCTTTCGCGCCTGGCATTTCGGTTCGAAACGTTTCTCGTCTTCCTCCTCTGTTTCCCCCCACCGCGCTGCTCCGCTGTCTTCGGCGAGCCGCGAAGACGAGGGAGGGGGAAACAGAGGGAACGAGAAGACGGGACACGCGCGATCGACGAACGGAAGTAGCAACAGCTTACCTGACTTCTCAGTTTGGTGATATTCTGGCCACCCTTGCCGATTATCGAACCGGCCACCTGCAACAGAGAAACGTTTTTCGTTCGTTAGATCGAGAGAAGTTCGTTGGTGGACGGCATAAAAATCGGCAACCACGAGGACGCGTCTTTAATGATTTTTATTTTTGTGATCGAAGAGTTGACAAAACTTTGGAGAATTTAGGTTAAATTAAAGGTAATTGAAATTGGCAAGTGGAAATGTTTGATATCGATTACACTCGCGGTGGAAAGCGCGTTGACAAATGGAATAAATTATTTAATCCGTTATCCGCCGATGTCCTATTTTTGGGACACTTTTTCATATTTTTTTTTTTTTTTTAAACTGCAGCTTCTATAATAAATAAAATACAGGGATTAAAATAGTGAGAATATATCACGTACTCTATGAAAATATCAAGAATTCTCGCTATTTTGTTTTAAATCATTGTAAACTTCAGGTTGAAACTAATAACCACAATTTCATTTTTTTGGGGAATTTTTCAATTGCGGCAGGTAATGGGTTAAAGTTGATACACATGACTTGAATTTTTTGGGATGTCAGACCAACATGTTTTCTAGAGAATTTTCTAGAGAATTGTATACACAAATCTTTTTAGATTGCAATTGGTTGGATTGATAGCAAATTAAAGAAATAATGATTTCTTTTTTAACTTTCTTATCTGAGGTTACAACCATAATTTTTAAACTGTATTTTGTAGATCGAGGTAACTCATATACATACGTCGCACTAGACTAAACGCAAAAAAATTTTTCAAAAACTATAAATTATGCTATCCAAGGTAAATAAACTTATCGGACGCAAGAACTGGTTAACGTGTGGTGCTCTATATATGTACATGTATAAGAATAACAATATTGAATATATTTAGAGACATTTCGCTATTCTCATTAGAATGTATGCTAGAATGAAGAAAATTGAATGATTGGACACTGTACTAAGTAAAACAACCTTCGTAAGCATAGGTTCCGTCAAGGTTACGCGTGCGCGCGCGCGCATACACAAAGAGAGAGAGAGAGAGAGAGAGAAATTGAAAAAGAGAGAGAAAGAGAGAGAGAAATTGAAAAAGAGAGAGAAAAATTGAAAAAGAGAGAGAAAGAGAGAGAGAAATTGAAAGAGAGAAAGAGAGAGAGAAATTGTAAAAGAGGGAGAAAGAGAGAGAGAGAAAAATTGAAAAAGAGAGAGAAAGAGAGAGAGAGAAATTGAAAAAGAGAGAGAAAGAGAGAGAGAGAAATTGAAAAAGAGAGAGAAAGAGAGAGAAAGAAGGAGAAAAATATTGGAAGAGAGAGAAAGAGAGAGATATTGAGAGAGATTGAGAAATAGAGAGAGAAAGAGCGAGAGAAATTAAGATATAGAGACAGAGAGAGAGAGAGAGAGAGAGAGAGAGAGAGAGAGAGAGAGTCTGATGTGCTCCTAGCCGAAAATGGCGACCACGTCGAAGCGAGTCTCTGACGAGAGTCAAGAGGCGTTGTTTGTTTTTAATCAGCCGTACTCGTGTCCCTCGTTTCGTGGAAATTCCGTGTCGCGTGCACTTGCCGCTAATAGGAGGTGATCGTTACTGCCAATAAAGAAAACGTGTTTACCCTACTTCTGCGAGAGCGTTAGAATGGATGAGCCGATAGATCGTTCCTACGCTTTTCTCAGCGGACTTCTTCTGAGCAACGGACAGTACTTCGATGTTATGATAAATCTCGTCAGAGATGTCGAATTTTCGAGAGAGAGTCCGAGAATTTCGCAAAAAGAAGATGCCAAAAGCGTGTACAGAAATTCAAGGAGGACACGTGGAAAATCTTCTGTAAATATCGAAAAGTCAATAGCAAGTCAATCATGTCTCAGAAACGGTTGACCTTTTGACCTACGTTTACCAAGGCTTTTCTCCTCGGTACAGCGTGTCCTATATACCATACAAATATTGAATGCTTTCGTTTGAACAGCCTGTACCGAATGAAAATATAAGAGACCGGTTATTTCGATCGGCGGCAAGCAGTGCTAACCGTTTGAGTCCCGGGGGTTATTCAGAAAACATGGTCGAAAAGTGGCGAACAGCGTAATAGCGCTTGTCTTAATTGTTTGCGAAGAGAACCAAGCGGCGCGATAGCGCTCGTCAAGATCGACAAACGAAACAAAAAGAAAAAAAATGAAGAAAAAGTAGCTACGCGATGTACGGTAATGTCTCCCTAACCGACATCGTAACAAACATATAGTTCTCTATATGTTTAATTATTTGTTATTTTTAATTATATGTTTCATAAAAGAGTTGTATTTGAACGAAATACGAGAAATGAAATCAAACATACAGAGTCTGATTGCAGTAGCTTGCACACTTTTCAAAGTAATTGCAACAGCTAACTGGTTAACAGCGTCAATAAATTGAGAAGCATGTAACAAGATTCTTATATTCTTCCGATGCCTCCGTTACTCTGTACAAGAAATTTACCCCAATTTTCCTTCAGCTTGTAAACAAAAATTTAGGAGGAGAAGATACGATTATTCGAGCCTCGCGGCTCATTTTTATAATTTCCGATTGTCAACAACTATAAAAACGAGGTGTAAGTTTCGGTGAAAGGCTCTCCTTTTCTCAGATTGTTTATTTTTGTTTACAAGCTGAAGGAAAATTGGGGAGAATTTACTGTAATTACAGTAATTACAGTAAATTCTGCACAAAAATGGGCAATTTGAGAAGAGGAGATACGATTATTCGAGCCTCACAGCTCATTTTTATAATTTCCGATTGTCAACAACTATAAAAACGAGGTGTAAGTTTCGGTGAAAGGCTCTCCTCTTCTCAGATTGTTTATTTTTGTTTACAAGCTGAAGGAAAATTAGGGAGAATTTACTGTAATTACAGTAAATTGTACACAAAAATGGGCAATTTGAGAAGAGAAGATACGATTATTCGAGCCTCGCAGCTCGTTTTTATAATTGTGGACAATTTATGACTATAAAAATGAATCGCAAGGATCGAATAATATCGTATCTCCTCTTTCCGAATTGTCCATTTTCGTGGACAATCCGAGCGTCAATTAGAGAGACATTACTGTACGTGCGTCACTAAAGTTTGATCGCGATACAAGATCCGAACAGCGCGATCGCGCTGCTTGGGACTCAAACGGTTAATATCATTTACGTGAGAAAACATCATTTATGTGAAATCGCCTGGGAATTACACAAATTTCGCTTCCGTGTAGAAGGAGCGTTTGCCAAGTTCTTCGAAGGTGTGCAGCACAGCTCGCGACAGGTGCGCGTCGCCAGAGTCCTTGAGTCCGTCACTGCACTCGCCTTAAACAAAGACTGCCTCTTTCTCCAGCGCCGTAGCCGAGGTCTTCGCGGCGAGCTTACGAAATTCTCGTGCGTTTTGCAAATAAGAAGCAACAAAGAGCGTTCGACGTTACGAACAAAAGCGCGAGGCAAGCAAGCGCGGCGCGTAAAGAAATCCGCGCAGGTGTTTATTTACCGTAGCCTGCGTCCCGCGGCCGATTATAAGCCGATTTTCAGATCGCCGGAGGGCCTCGTCCGCCGTGTGATCGATGAACAACCATATTTCATCGAGGCAGCGCGTCGCGATCGAGCCGGGATCAGAAAGTGCGCGCGGCCGAGGGACGATCGATCCCGGCACAAAAGCCGGGCGAAGGGGTTAATCTGGCCGCGCGTTCCATTTTCGCTCGTTCTTTTTGGCTCCTCCCCGAGGCGATCAATTTTCGTGGGAATCGAGGCGATCTCGGCCGAGAAACGCGGCCGGAAGGTCGATCGATCGCTCAGACGGCCAACGCGCCCCGCGCGTTCCGCCGATTAGCGCCGATAAGTCGCGGCGACCGGTTGCGACACGTTTTTCCGACACGCTTGCGCGAGTTTGTCCATTAGGGTGGTCCTTATTTTTCGGCTTCCTGTTCTCCTCGATCTTAGCCCTTGATTTGTGGCCTGCGTCGCGACGCTTTGTGAGAAAATGTCCGCCAAATTCGGAGCCAATGTAACAAGGAGAATTCGTGGTGCAGTTGCGTTAGAGTTTAACATCAAATTCACCGAGCAATAATAGTGAAAACCATGTCAAGATGATTATTATTATTATTATGATCTATATTTCTTGATCTCACCCCCTATAATTAGTGGCCTGCACCATAACGCCTGGTGAGAAAATGTCTGCTAAATTCGGAAGCAATCTAACAACGAGAACCTGCGCTGCATTCGCGTTAGAGCTTAACACTAAACTCGCCGAGCAATAATAGTGAAAACCATGTCAAGATTATTATTATTATTATTATGATCTATATTTCCTGATCTCACCCCCTATAATTTGTGGCTTGCTTCGTGATGCTAGGTGAGAAAATGTCCGCTAAATTCGGAAGCAATCTAACAACGAGAATCCGCGCTGCATTTGCCTTAGAGCCAAGCAATAAAAGTGAAAACCGCGTTACTTTATGGCTAGAAAGCGGATTTTATATATTTATTACAAAAATAAGTAAGCGAAATGCAAAACCGGTAGAACATTGACAGGATTTGGGAAGACTGTTGCAATGTTTCCGGCACATTAAAACAGTTAAGAGAGAGCATTAATTTGTGTCCAACTCTTGTCACTCAAAACTGATGCGAAACATTTTTATGTTTAATATCTTGGTGGGAGGAAGCATTACTATAATATTATACATATAAATATATCAAATATTAAGTAGCAAATTGTTTTAATTCGTGTAATTCATTTCATTTAATAATTTGTGGCCGGTCCTTGCCTCAGTGAAAAAATGATAATTTGAACCCGGAAAGATTGATCATACCTGTTTCAGAAGTTACAAAAAAATATATAATTTAATTACATTCGTAACAAAAGATTAGGATAAGTATTCCTCATTTCTCCCATTATTTAAGGATTTGATGCATAATCTAGTTCTCCCTGCAATTGATGCAGACAACTTTAATGTTTTCTAAAATTCCGCAGTCTATTCGTCATTGTTCACCTAAGATACTGTCTGTTAACTAAAAACATGCAGGATGTTTCAAAATTATAGTACAAGCAGGAGAAATGAGGGGT